ATGTTTTCTTTTCTTGATATGTAGTGTTTGCCTTTACCGGAACGGCTGTCGTTTGGTTTTTAGGAAAATCAATCGAAAAGCGCTCTAAAAGGAATAAGAATATAAATTACGGCAAAAATAGATTTACCTGACGGCTCTGTAGGAGGCGAAGTTGTAGGGGGTTGAGTTGCGGGGGGTGATGTAGTTGCTATAACTGAACAATCCTTAAAGGTGATGTCGTCGATAGCAATGTCACCTCGGAAGTCCACGCCACGAACACCCTCAAAATACACCTGAACCAAAAAAAAGTTTCTTAGATTCAAAACTTATAATTATGCAACCATTTTGGGAAAAAAGCCGGAGCGGATGGTTTATGACTGTGTTTGTAATATCACAGTTGCGGGGTAGATGGTCTTTGTTGTTGCAATAAGATACAAGAAAAAATTACTAAGCTCTAATTGGTTAAGATAAATGCAGTTTTCAGGTAATTCAATGCAAAAGAGCGTTAATTTAGTGCAAAGAAGTAACAAACCAGACTGAACAATTCCTTGAACTGTTTAGTCAGACTTTGAACTTTTTTGTGCCTTAAAGACGTGAAAATATCATTGTATCTTCTTGTTTTGATCGCACGCGGTTGTTTTGACCGAACGTACAATGTCACTTGCGGGTTTGAATAAGTTACTTTTGCACCTGATGCGCGCGCTTTGCTTCTGCATAATTATGAAAAGCTATCTCGTATTTTTTCATGTATATTATTAATACGTAATCGCATGAGTTTTCTCGTGCAATTTGGAATAAATAGGCACTTGTAAAACTCGTGCAATTTTGTTAGTGCTTGAAAAAATTTACTCGTGCTTATTTATTCCAAATTGCACTCGAAATCATATGATTGCCTATACGAACGATGAAAATTACCATATTACCTCGGATAAGTGCTCGGGTGCTTAATTAGAATTTAGGCTTAAAGGAGGGTCGCTAAATGGGGGGGGGGCTTATTAATCTCCTGTAATGATTCCGCTTTAATTGAAGCTTCATAATTTGAAAAAAAAAAACAGATCAAATAGCTTTTCCTTAAATCCCTACTACTAAACTAAACACAATGAGGGAAGAGGGGTGGGGCGCTAATTCGGGGGAGGGCGCTATTACAGCGTGGGTGCTTATTCGAGGAAATACGGTATTCATGGTATGTACCTGATATGACACAGAACTGGTGACCTCGACACTGGCTTGTTTCCATTCATTTCCCTGTTCGCCAGACTTTTCCCAGACAATTCTTTGGTCAGAGCCGTCATTATTCTTTACTAGAACAGAGAGCTTTCCTATTCCAGAACCCAGCATGTGATACCAGAATGTGAGTTGTTGACAAGATCCGGCTGAAAAGAGTTGACTGTAAAAGCAATTCGTGCCTCCGGTTTGGGCAGGCGAAGACGACTCAAAATATATATAGTTTCCTTAACAAAATGGAAAGAGAACACACGTAAATGTTAGTATTTACCCTCTGCTGGGTAAGTCAGCCAGTCAACCAGTCAAACAGACAGTAGGTCGGTTGATCTCTGAGCTTAGTCAGTTGGTCAGGCAGTCGATCAGTCTATCAGCCTGTCAGTTAATCGTTTATTTGAATAAGGCATAAACCTGGGCTTACTTGTGCAACAGGGAAAAGTCGTTTGAATTTAAATTTTGATAAAATTCATCTGATAAGACATGAAAACAGCATAAGGTAACAAAAGAAAGCGGCCTAGTTAGTTCCAAATGGTTACGAGCCTTGCCTGAACCGGAAGTGTGGTCGCCAGCGGGTCCAGTCCCTGAACTTCCGGTTGGTCCATCATGACGATACCATCTGGGATATTTGTTTGTATCACAAAAAGTCCAGTGACACAGTCCACCCATCTCAAACTCACAGTCGTAAGGACCTGAAATAGAAGAGAACTGAGAATGGATTAGAGGATTCTGGGAGATCTCAATTAACAATTGGCTTCAAAGTGTCCTTAAGAAATTCGTTCACTCAAGCATAGTTTCGTTTGGGAAGCAGTGGAAATATCTCTCCTGGCTGAAAACTTTCTATAACATTGTATATAAAAAAAACTCATGGTATATTACAATTTCTTAGTTCTAATTGGTTTTCAGGTCATGGTATCTCAGCTCATAGACTGTGGACCACAAATGTGGTAGGATTTCGTTTTGTTACAGATTTTGAGATATATCCGTGGGTGTTAATAGGATAGTTATGCTCCTGAGGCTTGTCGGATAGTAGAAAGTTATGAGCCAAGTGAACATATCTGTCGTATCTTATGCAACGTGACCTCATCTAAACTCTGTTCTGTGATTAATTCTGTAAACTCACGCCATCCTCTCGACCAATCAGGTACAAAACTGTAATCAATCACGACTTGGTCTGAAGCGTTTTTCCGCTTTACAAGGTTTTAGTTTTACGACGTGCAATTGAAAGCTTCTCTAAAACAATTGTAAATAAGGATCACTGACAAGCTCTATGAGGGAAAAGAAGAAGAGACAGACGGCAGGTTTGATATTTTTTGGTCGCGCCTCTCGACGAAGGAGCCTGAAAAGCTCTTTATTTCTTACCCAAATGACAGCCTCGCATTACACACACTCCGACTTGCTCATCATCTCCATCACAATCTTTTCCGCCATTTTTTGGTTGAGGCTCATTGCATTGCCTCGTCCTGGTGTATGTTCCCTCGTCACATGACACACTACAGGAGGACCATGATGACCACTTTCCCCAGTGCCCATCGATCGGAGCTGAAAAGTGATTTGAAGAAAGACATACTGCCTGTTCCCTTTTCATTGAATTATTTGGAGAGAGGGTATTAGACCTGTCTTTGAGATGGAACACTTCTGAATCAAAGGCTTAAAAAGTTGGACTCACTCAGGGTTCACAAACTGCCAGATAAAAATTGATATAACCTTTAAATTTTTGGTGTTTATATTGTTGGTGTCCTTACCATAACATTTTTCGTCGCTGCATTGTTCCGTCTGTGATTGTATTCCGTAGGAATCTGCACCGGGACAGTTGTTTAAATCATGTGATGCGCAAAACCGCTGACGTGTGTGTCTGCACTGACCGTTGCACGGACCAAAGTCTGTCCACGAACTCCAACCGTTGCTGGGGCCTGGGAAAGAATAATTGTCTCATGCTTTGAGTGCTGTATGAAGCGGAATCAGTTCAAAGAAAATCTTAAATCTCTATAATTTTTAGTTCCCATCAACTGTGGAAACGTCTTCGGGCTTTATTCGATTCCATTTCTTTTTAACCTGAAATTTACTTCTTTAATCATACAGAGAAGTCGCTTACCTGAGCAATCATAGAGCGCATTTATCTGAGCGATATCAGTTTTACTGAACCTATCTCGCTGACCCAATTCCGTATTTGGATCACCAATTGCTTGTATTGTTGGCTGACCATTTATGGAAAAGCTGGTTTTCCCATAATGCATGATGCTACCCGTGTCGTAAACTTCATTTAAATAATCGATCCGCTCATTATTATATTTGTCGAAATTGTGTTCTTTTCCTGTATAAAAAACAAAAACAACAACGACAGACAATCGGAATAACATCCTGTCCTTCAAAAACAAATTCTTTCCAATTTTAGTCTCCAAGCATCAATTGTTAGAGCCAGACTCTTCGCAGACCTCTTACCGGCTTGCTTTCCTTAGAACAAAACTAATAAACATTTTTATAGTCTTCGACTTGGACCCTACTTACATGGTATCGAGCACCCGAGACAACCCTCCCATCCGAAACAACTTCTACAGAGCGCACATTTCACATTTCACACATTCACTCGGCAATCTCTCTTTCGCGAGAGTCCCTCTCTCGCGACAGCCCCTCTCTCGCGACAGCCCCTCTCTCGCGACAGCTAGGTAAATGATCTCCGCCGACCTTAAACACACGGGCTCTGGAGACAATCTGAGCCGTCTCGTCTCGGGTAGGCGAGCTAAAGTTTTTGTATGAAAAAAGTTTTCCTAACTAACAGGGTATCCCTACATGCCGAGGTGAGACGACTCTCCCTCCTGAGCTGAAATAAGTTAGCTCAGCCAGGGTAACTCTGGGTTGTCTTGAGTACTACAAACCATATGGATGGGCCCTTAGAAAAGCGCTGAATATGAAAAACTTAGTTAAGCTTATTCTGAGGTAACTACATCCGGGATAGGCATGAATCACATTTAGTTACCAGGCTCAATATTCTCCCACATAATTTCCACATACTGGTCACGGTCATAGCGGGACTGTTCGTGCCAAAAGCCGATGGCGTGCATCATCTCGTGCATGGCAACCCCTCGATGGTTGCAGCCCCTCCCTAAAGAGATTGTTTGTGAACCAGTTACCCAGTACTTCATTCCAACTGATGAAAAACATCTGCAGGGGAACAGAAAAGAGTCGAAGAAAACAAATCAAACACAAACCTTGTACCCAGATCCCCTACAGCTAAATGTTTTTAGACTACAACACAATGTTGCTTGAGAAGGACCTGGACACGAGATAAGAAATAAACATCTCAAAATGCAAGATTTTCTCTCCACCAGAAACACATCTTTTTTCACTGATGAAACGCCAAGGCTTTTTCTGTTTCTAACTCTGTTTCTTCAAGGGTATTTTAAAGGAGATACTAACCTTAGCCTTACTACAACCCATTTCCTTACCCTGATTGTTTCTCAAAAGTTACCCATCTCTCCTCATTTTCTCGTGGTTTCCATTTCACGCATGTGTGTTGCGTAAACTGGTTAATGGCCTCTTGGATAGTCTGTTCATATCCCTCTTGCTCTGAAAGAAAATAATATTTTCCTAAATCAAATTGTACGGTACTTTATGGGGCAGTTTTTTCTTGGTTTGATTATTTTTTCAAACAAATGGAAATGTTTCAAAATAATTTCTCAAATTAAAAGAAGAAAGTGCCTAAATTTATCGGTAAGCAAAACCTGCGAACTGAAATCATCGTATAGCAAACTGAACTTCCATACTTAAAATTTTCATAAAGAGCATGAATGTCACTTCTCTGGTACAGTGTGTCGCAAATAAACCCTTCGTCCTCTCCCTAATTATAGTAACACGAGAAAACTTAAAGCAGGAAACATCTCACTGAGTATATCCGAGATTTGATAAGGAACAATCTTTGCCGTCCAGATATATCTTCTCAACCGTTGAGCATTTCTCTTTTCCCTTTCCTGGTCATTCGAACTTGATTCGTCCGGATTGGGAGACAGCACTATGTCACCTTCAAAAAGACCCGGTTCAATATCCACTTCTGTAGCAAAAACAAAAATGAACAAGTTAATAAATAAACATGTAAGCAGTTGTATCGTTAGATGATCTCGGTTTTCGAGCTAAGGGACAGATCATTATGTCGCCTGGGGGGGGGGGGGGGGGTAGCTTAGGGTTAGGGTCACATGATTTTTGTTGTGCCACGATAAAATTTGCTGATCTCCCCACAAGGCTCTGTAATGTTCTTATGATCTCTTCCCCCCGCTGCCCCACCCCCCCCCCGCTGTCCCACCCCTCATTGACAGTTCATTCACAGTCAATTTTCTTTTGTCCATATTTGATACTCCGTTGCCGAAGACTGATCCTTCCATCTGTTCCCCTGAAAACCACGCGTTTCCCCAAAAGTCCTTCACCCCTCCTCTCCGACGATAAATAGTGACTAGTGCTTGAGTAACCCTCAATGCCGAAACTAATCTTGATTTCTGTATTCTGTAGCATGAAGCAATCTTAGAGTTTGCTTCTCCCCCCCGTCAGCAAAACACATGCAACGAGATATGCTTTGCAAACATATACTTTTAAAAAAACATTGCGAAGCTTTTCTGGACGCTGTATCTAGCGCTACAACAAAGATCGATGGCGCACGAACAACTTGCTCCCTGAGAGACCTGGTACTGAGTTGGTCAATCAAAGTTAACAAAGTCGATCGAATCGCTGTAACCCACTTCTACTTGTGAGTGGAAAGGGAATCTTTATGAATCAAGTATCTTGCTTCAGGGCATATACATCCCGCCTGGGCTGAGACCTGAGCCTTTTTTTTTAACTTCCGCCAGAGGAAATGTCGAATATCATCTTATAACACCCTTCTTGCGGGGTTCTTCACAGGAAGAGATCACTTGCTTTAAAGAAAACAACAGATCCAAAGGAAGCTAAGGAATACATGATTCGTTTAAAGAATGCTATAATTTTTTTCGGTTTTGGCAGCGGTTTTTAAGCAATTTAAACCACAAACCTTGATTAATTACGTCGATTATTTCTAGAGCTGTTAGATCTGAATCATCCAGTTGAGGTCTGTTGTCACCTGTAAGAAAGTATTGAAGAGAGCAGTTTTCAGCAGGTGTATTACTCTATCAAAAAACTGAGTTACTTGACCTTGAAGAGGTGAAAACTCCGAAGCAAGGAATTACGAGTTCGACGATGTAAAATTAATTAAAACCGGTCGATATTCAGGGATGATGGTAAAAACAAGAACAAGTCTAGAATCTAAACACAATCCTCGTAACTTAAGATTTTCTTTTCACAAGCAGAACGCGATGATTATTGGTAAAATAAATTTTCCTCTTGATTTGAAATATTTTGAACGAAAAACGCTCCAATGGTAGCTCTATGAGGAAGAATTTCACGATGGTGTAAGAAAATTCACGAATCAAAATGCGCATACTTTTTCTTGTAAAAGGTGCGATGAATTTTGAACAAACTTTTTTATTTTCAACTCATAGATTCACGAAAAGGAAATTTATCTGAGAATGTGAAAGTGCTATAACTTAATGGAGAACTCATAATAAAATATGATATATGTGTATCTTTTTTACTCCGCCCTTTGATTCAAATCTGAAAATTGATAACATAAATAAATATTGCGAAGTGTTCTTTTAGATGTTTAGATAGTGAAGTAAATGGCAGGCTTAGTATGGTAAATAAATGACATCTTCCAAATGAAAGGTTTCTATGCAGGAAGCTGCGTCGCACAAGTTTCAAACTTATCAGTAAACGCAATAAGACTTCCGAGTGAAAAAAGACTGTATTGCACAGGAAAAATGATAATTTTACTTGTATGTTGTCTTGATTATTCCTATTGTAGTCACAACACTCTTAAGATTTTTCTCCGTGTGCATTAGGGATCAACGATAGTTTTTTTAATGACATTGAAAAAAACAAATATATATTCTGCCTGGGTTGACACTGTATCCAACCTGTTTCAATGAAGGGGCTAAGGTTTCTAAAGAAAATGTCGTGCTGCGTCGGTGGGAGAGTGACGGTTGCCAATTTACGTTATCAACTCCGTTGAAAATACTAAATTACCCTTTATCAATGAAGCTTCTCCAGGAATAATGTTTTGGCGAACGCAAGTTCTCCAGAATTTTAACTTGTCAGTTTGATGCTCAAAAAGTCAACCTCTAGATCTTGATCAAAGGAAGAAGTCAATCATGATGATCTTCATAATATCTGTAGTTTTTTTATCTTCTTAACCACTAGATCGACGAAATTTTTAGCTTAATCACCCAACAATCAAGATTCTTACTTTGGAATTTCAACCCTCGCACTTTGATACGATAAGTTAGAGAAGAATCATTCCGAATAAACTTGTAGTAGCTAAGATGCTTAGATATAACATTATACCTGGTATATCACTCAGGATGGGTATACCTCTTCCTAAAGATGCTTGGATCAAAGACAAAATCATTACTATGGCCAGCATTGTGATGTCCGAGGAATTCAACTACGCTCTGTTTTCAAATGAACAGATCAAACTTAACGGCAGCTATATAGTCAGCTCTTGTCAATAAAACAGGTGCCATTTCACATGTTTGTCTACACCATTTTATAGATTTGACACTTGTTTAAACAAGTTCCCTCAACAAGCAAAATATACAATTAGAGATGAAATATGAAGATCTAGATACTGTCACCTTAAGTAATCAAGTAGATAGTTGTTTGTTGATGAACTATGGTAATGTTAAGTAGTAAATGTTTACCATAACAATGTAGGTTCGATTCATGTCGAAATTGTTTGAGGATTTCCTGTCAGTTGTTATCAATAATCGTATGCCGCAGTGAAAACAGAGCGATTCTTCTTCACATTGGATATTGAAAAACTCAGGGATCAGGAACAGGCACTTTCGTCATTCACACCGGGGCCAGAACTGTTACCGTAATGATCGGAAAAAGTATAAATATCTCCAAAAATATTTTGCATTCGTGTTTCGGAATCACGAAATCACAGAAACTTGTTTACTCACCAGCTTTTTGTACTACGATTTGGCCTGTCTACGCTGTCTTCTTTTATAAATCATGTACGACTTTTATCATCGAAAAATGTGTTGCGGAGGGGCTACGACGTGTCGAAATGTTGTAAAATATGTCTAAGTTCCACAGTTTTTTCATATTCTTTGTGAATTTCTTTCAAATATGACAAAATTATGATTTAAATAGATGACACGACTTCTGTTATCTAAGCGTGTGTGTGTCGCAACCTCAAATCATATCTGCGAGTCGTTACAAAAAATTGGAAAAAAAATCCAAAACCGTGGAATCGCGTTTTGCCGATGAGGGTAGTAAGTGTCAATAAACGCAAAGAAAAACTTGACGCTGATATCAACATGTCCTTGATAACCAAGTGCTTGTTTCCCACGATTACAATGCTGTGTAAACATAGTATAGGTAAATGTAAGTTTGTTTTCCTCAATTTTATGAAACGAATCACGTACTCGAGAAACAAGAGAAACTAAGGAGTATTTTGTTGTATTTTTGTCTGGTACAAACAATTTTAAAACGAGCCCTTGTCGGAAAAACGATAAACTGTTCTTTTTAGCCTCCAGTTTCAAGAAAAAAAATTTAAAGTGTTATTTAAAATGACTCTTTCTTTTTTTAAATTTTATTTGATCTACCTTCTTAAGGGAGTGATTAAAGATTCCAGATTGACAAAAGAAACAATGTTTTTCAGGGACGAGGGACCGACGATCACTTCCGTCAGAACAGAAGATGGGGGAAGGGGAGGAGGGGGTGGGGAAGAGAAAAACCAAAATGTTGTTTAAGACAAATATTTCTTTAGTTAATCTTCTTAAAGATTACTAAAGTGTATGTGGGAACACATTGGTAAGCGGTCTTTGCATTCCATTTACCGAACTTTCTTTGAGAAAAGGAACACTGCTAACTGTCTTTAAGGTTTAGTTCTTGGTGGCCGCTCAAGGTCAAGGGGCAATTAGACGGTAGCAAAAGGGGGGAGGGGTGGGGTTCCTAGTCCCGTTTCACTCACGAGTTTTTGAAAAATTCACACGGCATGTTTTTAAAAGGGAAAATTTCAAATCTCTCTTCTTGTGCACAAGGTTTCAGGGAAATCTTGACATTTCTACGAAATGAAAGAAAAAAATTCACGGGTCACGTCTATTTCAGGAGGCAAATCACGTCTGACGCTGGTTGCCAATAAATTCACGAATGACGCTCGCCGTTGCTACCCTCTAATGAAGTAAAACGTCACTAACAAAGGAGCTGTAAAAGGAGATCGAATGTTTCCCAGAAATTGTTTATCTTGAGGTAAATACTTTCTGCTTCAAAACATCTAAAAGATTATGAACGATAAAAGTGTTTTATTTCTCAGAGATGCAAAATACTAAGTTGAAGGAAAGACTCTCAGTTTCATCAACAAACCACCGTACTCGTGTGAACGGCCGGAAATGTAATGATTCCATCCTGCATGAATTTTATGTATGTACTTAGCTTCCGGTTATGCACCGTTACTCAAATTTATTCCACTCAGTAACGTGCACGCTGATATATTTGTTACTAACTTGATTCCACAAAGAGTGCCCCGAAAAGGAAAAATCATTGTTTATACTAAGTTTTTCTTTTCATGTTAGTTTGACATTAAAAACCTCTTATTATAAATATATGTTGACGGCTGGGAGGTTCGTATGGTGAAAAACTGTGACCTCGGTCTTGAAAATGCTGCCCGAGGCCTAGTTTGGCAAGGACTGCCACGACAATGTTTTCTTCAAAAACAGTCAATGATCTAACAGAAAGTATTATTCACTCTCATCGACGATTGATTCATGTACGAAAATTTACCTCTGTTCATTAAGCAAACGGCGAGGAAAGTAAATTCAAATTTTTTTTACTTTGAAATTTTGAGAATTTGCTCGTTTGTTTGCTGCAATGGCGTGTGTAAATCTGGTCTTTCCTCCCCAAAAACTACATTCAAATGATACACTCCAACGAGACACAAGGGGATTTAATGCGGCCTTTTCGTTGAATTCCTTCGGTTTCTGTTGTGTAATTTACGGTACAAATTGAACGGACTTGGAAAGACTCACCGAGAGCGTATATTTGTTGTAGAACTGAAATTAAAACCTCGCTCGCCCTTTCTCAAATTGTTTGAGAAAATTCAGATATTAAATGAATGAAAGTGATTTGAGAGAGAGAAAAGAGAGGATTAATAAGTTATTTATCGACTTGAGGTAGCTAGTGACCGATTTCTATGCTTAAAATTACTGCTCAGCCGGAAAAACGAGATATATGTAAATCTGGTCTTTCCTCCCCAAAAACTACATTCAAATGATACACTCCAACGAGACACAAGGGGATTTAATGCGGCCTTTTCGTTGAGAAAATTCAGATATTAAATGAATGAAAGTGATTTGAGAGAGAGAAAAGAGAGGATTAATAAGTTATTTATCGACTTGAGGTAGCTAGTGACCGATTTCTATGCTTAAAATTACTGCTCAGCCGGAAAAACGAGATATATGTAAATCTGGTCTTTCCTCCCCAAAAACTACATTCAAATGATACACTCCAACGAGACACAAGGGGGTTTAATGCGGCCTTTTCGTTGAATTCCTTCGGTTTCTGTTGTGTAATTTACGGTACAAATTGAACGGACTTGGAAAGACTCACCGAGAGCGTATATTTGTTGTAGAACTGAAATTAAAACCTCGCTCGCCCTTTCTCAAATTGTTTGAGAAAATTCAGATATTAAATGAATGAAAGTGATTTGAGAGAGAGAAAAGAGAGGATTAATAAGTTATTTATCGACTTGAGGTAGCTAGTGACCGATTTCTATGCTTAAAATTACTGCTCAGCCGGAAAAACGAGATATATGTATTAAAAATGGCAACGAAAGTAGGGATGTACTCGGCGACTCACGAGAGCATTGAGGTGTGGACGTCTGGTATTCTGCAGCATACACCTTTATTGATATCTGTCGGGCTAAACCAGCAACGAAACTACTCGCTACATCAAGTTACATTACAACAGATACTATTTATATATTGATTCAGGGATGACTCAGCATGAGACAGCTGCTTCTAGAACATTCTTGAAGGTCACACTACAAGTGTTACCGTTGCCCGTGGGCAGAGGTAAGAAAATACGGACCATGTAAAGAACCAATCAGATTGTAGGATTCGTTGCCGTGCCTTCTGGAAAAAAAAACTAAAGAATATTATACTCTGCGAATATAAAAAATATCATTGGCATGCTCTCGCATTTCATTTCGTGAGATGGTTGATTATACGTGGGACCAGGGAGAGTAAGATTTCAAGGGGAGGTGCAGGTTTCGTTCGATTCTCGTATTTCATGTATGTGACATGTTATCGTTTCGCCTTATTTTAGACATTTATGCCTTTTTCTAGATGGTTTTAGATAGTTTTAGAGTGGCTGTAGATGTTTTTGAGGTGGTTGTAGGTGGTTGTAGATGGTTGCAGGTGGTTGTAGGTGGTTTTATGTGGTTTTAGATGAACTTAATGAGGATTTCAGAAAGCTTTCTTTACAAAGCGCAAAGTGAAGTCTACAAAATTAAACTTGTCTAGGTAAGCTTGTCTTCTTTATCGTTTTGTTAAAAGACCTCTTTATACTTGGAATTATACTGATTCCGATAAAACTAGCAGAGACATGGTGGCCAAACTATCAAGGTCTTTGTGTTGTGTTCTTTCGCGAGAAATTTTACTGTGGGTAAGCACCAGGGTGTATAAATGTAACAACAGTTCAGGTATAAAAAAAAAATGAAAAATGAATAAATATGTGTAGGCAAAGCTTTTAAGCTTTCGAGCTCTTCTCAATATTCTAGAGAATGAAGATTCTTGTATGGAGCCCGATGAGATAATGCTTAAATTCAAACACAGCAAAATTGAAACAAATCTAACCAGTTGTACAATATTTTTCGTACACCTAAAAACTCTAGGATTTTTTCTCCTTTAAAAGGAACGTCTTTCATTTTCCTTTTGACTCGTGGAAACGCGATAGCGTAGAAACGAGTTGTTGTAGGTACTTTGGGATGTGTAAATTGGCGTGGACTCCTCGTAATTAGTCGTAATTAGTCGGCTCCGAACTCGAGATCTATCCTTCCAGAGAAGTCCGAAGTCCTGGTGCCATTGTGATTGCATCGATCGTTGCGATGTTTATTGTCTTTACACGGCAGTTTCGAAGGTTCCAGATTAGCGCTATGATCAAATTAGAGACCAAATCTGAAGGGTCTTCGAAGAGTCCATGCGCTAAACATAACGAGGAGCAGCGAGAATCACGAAGAGTTTGTGAGTGACAGAGCAAGCTGTGGACATGGAAATTCCTACGGAAACATGTACCCAGGACATAAAAAAAAGTGTCAGTTTACCGCATCGAACGTTTCGGCAGCTACGCTAATTTCGGTCTTTTCGTTATGGTCGTTTCGTTTCATTGTTTTTCTATGCAAACGCGACTGTTTTGATAATAAAAATGATATATGATCGGTTTCTACAAGTCGTTACCGAGCAC